GTGTGTGCGTGCGCACGCATTTGTATTTCATTTTTTCGCAATTTATCTGATATTGTCTTATATTATTTCAACTTGGATGATAAAATTCTTTCCCATTCATGATTTGACATCTAATCTTCTCTTCTCGTATTTTACTTTATCTTTACTCCTTGTATCTTACCTTATATCAACACATCTTGTTTTATATTTTATCTTTGTTTAAATCCATATCAGTTCATTTTTGTTAAAAACTAATGACTCTTATCTTAAATTAATTGTTTCAACATTCCTTAACAATGTATCTTGGGTCATAGTGTAATATTTGTTATTATCTATTATCATTATACCTTATAATCAACAGCTGATTCCATTCTTTGTCATGGACACCCTGGCATTTCCCGGTGTCCCTGGACTCTTTATTTCCAGCATCTTCTCCGGGGCTCTCAGGTAAATATACGTCAAATTACAACGGTCTTTTTCTTCCCTTGTTCAGAATACTTGCATCTTTCTCTTGCCTCTTTCAGATCACCCTTGTTTTTGTCTTCCCTTCTGCGTGTTAAATTCTTTTCCGTTTTTCAAATTAGCCACATTTTTCTCTTTCCCTTTTCACATTTCCCACGTCTTTCTCTCCCTTTCTTCGGAATACCCACATCTTTCTCTGCCCTTCTTCAGAATACCCACATCTTTCACTTTCTCTTTCCTTCTTCGGAATACTCACATCTTTCACTTTTTCTTTCCTTCTTCAGAATACCTACATCTTTCTCTCCCTTTCTTCAGAATACCCCCATCTTTCTCTTTCCTTCTTCAGAATACCCACATCTTTCTCTCCCCTTCTTCAGAATACCCACATCTTTCTCCCCCCTTCTTCGGAATACTTACATCTTTCTCTTTCCTTTTTTTCAGTGCTCACTTGTTCTCTTCCTTCCCTTTCTTATTTTATAGACTACTCACATCTTTCTCTTCCCTTCTTCAGATTGCTCACACCCACATCTTTCTCTTCTCACGATTATTCGCGTGTTTTTCTTCGCATTTTCCGATTACACCTTTCTCTTCCCCTCTTCCAATTACTGGCACATTTATCTCCCCCTTTTAAGAATACTCACATCTTTCTCTTTCCTTCTTCAAATCAAGCGAGCATTTATCTTCCCCTTTTCAGATTACCCACATCCTTTTCTTCTTTTCTTCAAATTACTCGCGTACTTATCTCTTCCCTTTTTAATATCCACATCTTTCTCTTCCCTTCTTCAGATTACCCATGTCTTTCTCTTCCCTTCTACACGTTATTCGCATCTTTCTCTTCCTTTCGTTAATGCCATTCGCGTTATAATTTGTTTCCTGTTCCTAGATTACCCTCGCCACCCCCCTCCACGTCTTCAGATCATAAGTTAATTTCTACTTTTTTCTCTTTCGTTGACCAGCTCTGTGTCTTCATCTCTAAGTGCAATGGCAGCCATTACGTGGGAAGACGTGTTCAAGCCTCATCTAGACCATAAGATGAACGAGGGACAAAAAACACTGTTCACCAAATTCCTTGGTTAGGTCGCAGGTTCTTGTTGTTGTCACTGTTGTTTTCGTTAGTGTTGGTGGTGTGGTCGTGGTGGTGGTGGTGATGATGATGATGCTGATGATGATGATGGCGATGATGATATTATGTTGTGATGGAGGATGTGGGCAAAGCGGAGGAGATGATGGATGGAATGAAGCAAAGGAAGATAGAAAAAACAGTGGACGCGTGGAAAGAGAGAGAGAGACAGAGAGAGAGAGAGAGAGAGAGAGAGAGAGAGAGAGAGAGAGAGAGAGAGA